CCCCAAAACCCCAAAACCCCAAAACCCCAAAACCCCTTGAAGAAACGAGGATTTTGAAGGAATTATTATAAATTTTAAATAACTGATGATAAATAGTAAGCTGGTAGCCTTTTTGGAGAATAAGATTAGTGAGAAGAAACAGCAGAAAAAGCCTGGAGAAAAATATAAAATCAAACTTAATGCAAGGAGAGGCTACATGCCGAAGATAGGCTCAAAGTGAGTGTTTTTAATTAGCATATTATTACAAAGTTTTAATTTCTGTTTAGAATTTATGAGAATAAATTAGCTATATCAAGATTAATGGCTCAAAAGAAGTCGTCAAATTTTTCTCAAACAAGAGATTTTGATAATTCCTTCACAAGTGATGACTACTCTCCGTATTCTCTCAAACGAAGAAGTAGAGTTATCAACAGAAGATTTACTTCAAACTTTCTTCCAAAAGAAAGTAGTACTAGAAGTCAATTGTAAGCTGCCAGTTTTATTTATAGAAGAAGTTATGGGAAAATGAATACTACAGGGATGAACTATATGCCATACACAAACACAAAGAGTTCTTTAAACACAACTTGGAATAGGGAATCTAACTTTAAGAAGTATTTCTCAAAACCCACAATTTCCTCGACAAAGGGGTTTACCCACACAAATTCTGAGAAGTTTATAAGTAGAACCATTTATGGAGGAAATCTTATGAAAAGTCATAGCAAGAAGTTCAAGCCTGCTGTTTATCAGGACAACAAGAGCATGCCAAAGAAGAACTCTCTGAACTATAGAGAGATCAAGCGTCTGAGAGAAGAATTCAACCTTGAAAGGAATGAAGTCTATACCTTGAACTCAGAGTATGATTCGATGCTCTACATGCAGGATAACAAAACCTCCAAAGGAGGATTAGACCCTGGAGGGTCTAAAAACTCCTTCTTTGATTTTGGGGGTGAGCAAGAGGAGAAAGGGATCACATGCCAGTTCTTCTTTGATAATGCTACCTTTATTAAAGGGATCCTCCCTGAAATAATGAAACGGATTGTCATTGCGTTAGGACTTGATGCTGATAGTCCTATTACCACTCTAAGCAAAGAGCACTACTTGAAATTATACTGCATGCTTGAGAAATCAACTTATAAAGATGATGGAGTCAAGTTTTGGTGCACCTTTTTCGACCCTCATGGGTTTGGGACTGTACCAGAAAAAGATTACATGAGTCTTCTTGAGAAAATGGTTAGAGGGAAGTCATATGATTTCTCTAACCATTTTACACAACTATATGCTGAGAAGATACAGAAAATTTTTGAGGAAACAGGATGACTTCTGCCTGAAAATGAACTTGTTATTTCAAAGTTTAAAAAATGCCTTCAGAATGAAAGAGTTCCAAATGCTCTTGAAAATCCTGACATTCCTGTAATCAAAGAAATCTGGTTCTCATCAGCTCTTGGGAATCGGGAGCTGATTCTAGATGATTAATTTTTCAATCTTGAGAATATGAACAGGGGTTTTGGGGTTTTGGGGTTTTGGGGTTTTGGGGTTTTGGGG